GTGTGCTACCTCCAATAATGTATTTTACCTGGACGCGTTATTTATGCCGCCTGTTGGATGACCAATGATAGCCGGTGGTCAGGCAAGTTGACATGGCCTGTTCATTTTTTCTGGATGAGATCGTTCGTTGTGTTTCTTGACTATTGATTTTCGACAGTGAGTGTGTATGTGTGTGTGTTCGTGTGTTTCAGAAGTTATTTCATTTGAATGAGGAGTAACACCAACGAAAAAAATAACTCGAGCGCGTGAGTGGAATTTTTTTTTTCAATGACGGAATACAAACTGGTTGTTGTGGGCGATGGTGGCGTCGGCAAATCGGCCTTGACCATTCAGCTTATCCAGAATCATTTTGTCGAAGAATATGATCCGACAATTGAGGATTCCTATCGCAAGCAGGTTTGCCTTTGCTACTTACACTGACCACCACTTCTCTCTCACACTGGCCACTTCCACTTTACGCTGACCACTCCCATTTTATGCTGACCACTTCTCGTTGAATCCGTACTGGCGAGTTATACGCACGCGCACTTACAGGTGGTAATTGATGGTGAAACGTGTCTTCTGGACATCCTGGATACTGCGGGGCAGGAGGAGTACAGTGCAATGCGTGACCAGTACATGAGGACCGGTGAAGGCTTTCTACTGGTATTTGCAATCAATGAAGCGAAGAGCTTTGAAAACGTTACGCAGTATCGCGACCAGATACGGAGAGTTAAAGATAGCGATGAAGTAAGTCTTTTTTATTGTTTTATATCCGTGCCGTAAGCCGACTGCAACGACCAGCTTGACCCTGAAAGCCCAGATAGTGAAGGTGCGATAGATTACAACACGAAAGAACAGCATGAGAGAAGACAGTAGTGAGATAAGACGTTTCGGTCCACTGAGTCATGTAAGTTGAGCTGACCTACTTGTGTGCGCTACGATTTTGCCACTGGAACAACTAAATTCACTGAATCATCATTGTTACACCGAGTTCAGCTCTATGCCGGGCCCTGCTTCTCAGGCCACCTGCCTAAACCACCATCCTGAAACTTCTTGCACTGAATGAACATTTCAGCGAAGTATTTTCAATTTGACCCATGTACACATCATTAACTGACCACTGGTCATCCTCACCAGCACACACGTCATACGTATGTTGGTATTTCTTGTTTGATCAGCTCGAGCTTTTAAATTCTTCCCCTAACTATCTAGCTGGCAAAATTTGCAGAATGCTTCTACGCTTGGTGGTCGGCTTACTGGAAATATTGCTGTTTGTTTTGGCTTCTGAAAGGAGTACTAGCTCGCCATTTCTCCCTACAAATAAATTAGTAGGGTTTCAGCAGGCGTTTCAAGATGTCATTAGGCTGGAAAGCTGAAATTTTAAAGGGATGTCCCCTGTTCAAGTACGCCTTTAAGATTAGAAATTCACCCCCCAGACATGCATGATTTCCACGTACAGGCACGTAAAATTCTTAATGGGAAAAATGTTCACTGAACAGCCTGGTTATTTTCAATGAACGACCATGTCGAGACACTGTCCCCAATATTGCCAATCCTTGTCGATAGTGAATTAGATCATTGAGTGAGAGGCCGGCAGATATACATATATGTATATACATATATATGTATGTGTATATGTATATATGTATGTGTGTATACACATATATATACATGTATTATATATGCATCTACATATACGTGTATATACATATATACAAGTACATATATAAATGCTAAAATTAGTAAGACAGCCCGGATATTTGGTATAGATCTTGCGCTGGTGATGTTAGTCTAGCACATGTTTTCGTCCGGTATGCTTCTCCATACCGGATGAAAACATGTGCTGGACTTTTCGATCCTGGGCTATTTTCCTCGTAATTATCCCATACCATTCGCCTATTTGATGCCTGTGCGCCATTTTTTCGGATATCACGCAATCGGTCTTTTACATTCTCGCTGGTACCATTAACTGATGTGCAATTTCTACTTGTTATCGATAAAGCTAGGATCATGCCATGCCCATCGATTTTATTTTCTGTTGTGGTCGCAGTGGTATTCTGTGCCCCGATTATGTGATGGAGAGTCTGAATGTTTTTCCACATAAACCATATAAAAATTGTCATCCTCCGTCAAATGAGCGGCATGCAGGACATCACTGCGACCATGCGCGAAAGAAAATTCTGATAGACAGAGCATACTGCATGGCTCTGGCAGCAGCTATTGGACTTGGCAGTTCCTGAATACTTGGGGCATCGAGCAAGCGATGTGTACTAGCTGAAGACGTGCAGCTTATAAGCGAAAAGCCTGGTACACGCTGGGCACATAGAGCCATCGCAGCAGCATCGCTTACATGGAGTACAAACACTAACTGTCTGGGTATTGATATATATATATATATATGTATATATATATACATATATAACATCAAAACTTTTCGGACATTTATGTATATAAATATTTATATGTGCATATCCCAGTGAATTTCATGCACTAGCTCATCTTCCGGGCATTCGCTATACAGATTCTCGGTTCCCTCAACATAGGCACAACTTTTTGATTTTTACTATTCTTCTAAAGACTTATTTTGAAAATTTTGTAATGAAAATTGTGTAATTTTGACATTTGAAGTGCTGCGGACGATGTAATCCGGTACTGCTGGCACATGGGAGCAGTGCTAAACTGTCCACTGAATTGATTTTTACAGGTCCCAATGGTGCTGGTGGGCAATAAGTGTGATTTGGCGCAAAGGATGGTCGAGACACGAGCTATAATGGACGCATCTCGCTCGCTGGGGATGCCTGCGGTTGAAACATCCGCAAAAACTCGTATGGGTGTCGATGACGCTTTCTACACGCTTGTCAGGGAAATACGTAAGCATAAAGAGAGGCAGTGTGTTAAGCCGCGAAAGAAGCGTAGATGCACAATCATTTGAAAGGCTTGTTGTTATTCAGTTTCGGGTTGAGGAATTCATATTGTCATTGCGGTAATGGAACAGAGAGAGAGAAAAAAAAAGAAACGCTCTTTTAAATCTGTTTTGGCTGTTGAAGTTTTGAGAGGTATGACAAAACGGCGCTTCTTTTTTTTGCTGCACACGCCTGATAAATTGTGTTTTCAACGAAATAAGCTTTGCCGGTGCGTTTTCTTATGTCTTTTTTCTTTTTTTTTTTTGCCAGTACGGTTATGTCTCTTATACTGTTTGTTTGGTTGATTCATATAGAACTTAAAATCAAATGTTATAAGTTATGGGTTAATTGTCAAAATTGCCTGCGAATTATGGGTTAATTGAAAAAAATTGTCTGCAAACAAGACGCGGTCATGAACACCCCTCCCACCGCGCCACTCTCGCGCTTAATGTGCAGGATTCCACTCAGCTAGTGGGAAAATCAGCTCGCCTGTCAACCATTCATTCATTTTCGTAGTAAACTGTTTCTGGTATGTGCCAGGAAGTCATCAGCACACTGTGAGTATTTTTTTAGCAATGCTGTTGATCACTTTCTGCTACAGAACTTAAGAAGTGCCATTTACATCCTTATCAGCAGGCAATTTCTTTTGGCACTTGCTGTCATTGGCGCTACTTACGAATACCTCCGCTTCCCAATGAATAGAGAGGATTTACGAGAAATATGGTTTATTTTGTTGTCAAAATCAGAATGTGACAGTCCCTTATACGCCGAGCATTTTTGTTTTTGTGAGGATTAAAAAAAAAAGAAAAAAACGAGATCAGTACAGTTATCGTTTGGGTGCAGCTGCTGTTTGCATCTGTGTCTTGCGTTTTTTGACAGTTGCATGCGATGTTATATACTTTTCGCGGGTTTTCATACCAAGCGATGCTCACTCCACTCCCTTTCTTTTAATGTTCGTTTTCTCAGTCTTTTAAAATTTGCATTTTGTAGAACTTACCAAGATTATCATGACCGCTCAAACATTCGGTGTGCGGATCCGATGTTAGTGCTATTCCTAGCATGCTGTGGCACTTACAAAGTAATGATACCTTTTTGGTGAGTTTTGCTTCGATGTAATAATACGTTTTATAGATGGGCATAAGAAAACTTTGGCCTTTACTTTTCTTGGCGAAATTTTCAATTGGCACGCCAGTAACGGAGAAATGTGTGAGTTCTCGCTTTGCTTCTGCAACCACTTGTAGGATCTCGAGCCAAATAAACTATTAAGAGAAAATAGCCGATCATGCTTAAACAGAACAGCGAATACGGACAGGGCTTTTGACCTGGAGTTTTGACTTAACATTATCCGAACAGTCGGTGTAGGTATCCCAAGTTAATAAAGTTGTTGGACTCAAACGCCGAATGCATCTGTGCTAGAACCTTCGGTCCTGGATAGCATGCTTCAGTTAATATGTTCAGTTGTGTGCGCCAGGTCTTCCGAAGATGCCGGAGCGCTTGTTTACTTTCTTGCGAGCCTCTGCCTTCCGTGAGCGATATTTCTCAAGACCTCCCTTCAGCCTTCGTCTAGTGTCTGTAGTAAAGGTTTTTTAGTTTCTTTTCGTGTTTTTTCTGTAGCAGTATTGTAGTAGCGAAGTTCCTCTAATCGAACTGTTGGAAGGTGGGGGGGAGGGAAGGAGGGGAGAAGGAGTGGAGGTGGGGGCGAACGTGCTCTGCTCATGTAGCGCTTTCAACAAGCTTGTTAACGAGGCATTTGTTGTGCAGAATTAATTTCAGTTGTTATTTTGACAGCTCGTTTCGTCGCTTTTCCGTCAGTTCTCGAGGCCTGTTACGCTAACTTTCCGCGTACAAGATTCTTTATCTGTGAGCCAAGTTAATAAGTATTCTTGTCCACAGGATGGAATGGTCGCTTCCTGTGTTAGAGATGATGTTCCGGAGACATCTCTGGGAAAGCGCCGTCAAGCTAATTTCGCTCTTCCTTTTTGTGTTTAACGCAAACCGCATACTCTCTCTGTCTTGCATCTTTCTGTAACCAGACATTACTAACAAGCAGTTTGTTTGTCTTCATTATTGTAACTAGTCTGTTACTTTTGTATTTCCTCTTGCCAGTGTCGTACTTACTAACAAGACTCTCGCCATCCTTCCTTCCTTGCTCAAGCACTGCATTGAAGTCACGATAAGGGTCATGTTTAGCACATGGGCTGACGTAGCGATTAAATATGGTCTCGATTCTGTCTAGTCACTATGAGAGCATAGATCTAGATCGTTCTGAGAGTTTTATCGGAATCTAGCCCGAGGAGAAGTACGCCAATTCGTGACGAATAAAAATGATTGGAGATGATTTGCGACTGGTATTCAAAATGATTAAAAGACCTCAATTTGCTAATAAACACGATTTTAATACGTCGTTTTGAGACCGCAACGTAGTGTTTTGTAAAACGATTGTATATTTTTTACCTGAATAGCTTCTTTGTTTTTAGTGTCAACTGTTTTCATTTTTGATGCATGCAAATTTAGTACCGCATATCGCTTTTTCACTTCTAAGTATATTCGGGTGACCCAAAAAGGAAGAGCTTATGTACTTGTTTTAGCTGTGAGACTTTCCCTATCCGAAGCATATATTGAGTTAGAAAAAAGTGGGCAACACTCGCAAATAACATATTAGTATATACATATATATATATCAAGACTGCCCTGGTAATTGGTGTGAGCAACCTTTCTCAGCATTGCTCAACGCTGAGTGCAGTGATGCTAGGCCTTTCGATCCTAGGCTGCTTACCTCAAGTTGGTACCCACGGCCTGTTTGATGTATGTTTGCTACATTTGGGGATGGATGTTTGCTTTCTCGCTGATAGTGGGTTTTTGCGTTCTCGCTGGTAGTGGGTGCTTACTTTCTCGCTGATACCAGTCACCACTGCACAAGATTCATCGATTACTGTGGCGAGCAACATCCCCTACTCATCGAATTTTACTTTCTTGCGTGATTGCAATGCTGTCTTGCACGCTGCTCATCTAGTGGAGAGCCCAGTTGTTGTTATCTGGCCACGAAGAGACACGCCAAGCATCCTTCGCTCCATCACTGTGCTCGTCATAGCCAGTGCTTGCTGTTCAGCGATCGTCAATACCATATTTGTCTTCTCTGCACCATTGCATTAAGCACAGTGATATCGAGGAGCTGGGCCCGCTTCTTCTTGTCGGACACTTTGAGAACATCGAAGGTGTGGTAAAAATTTCGCCAATTGACAGCCCTTTTACGTTCAATTTCTGGTTGAAGTTTGTGGCGCTTATTTACTTCCTGGCCGAGATAGACATAGCTGTCAACTTCTTCCAAGTCAGCAACCTCTGTCTGCACTCAGTATGCAGACAATAACGGCACTTTGCGTACTTTCTTTTTCGATGCTTTATCTTTCAGGCCGTCTTTCTTGGTTCGTGCGTTGCACTCCTGCGGCATCTCATTTATCTTGCGGAGGGCGCTCACAATAAGAACTGTGTCATGGTTTAGCTGGTCACCATTGATCGCCTATGCACCTTTTCAATCCAGCTTCACAAATGCTAGTTTGAAGTATATACCTTTTTGAAATGCCATGAAAAGTTTGGACGGCATATGTTTGCCTCGCTTCATCCCTTTCTCGATCGATATACGAATTGGAGTGAAAAAATGTTATGGTTGTCGAACAGCCTATGTTCGTTTTCCTTAACACTTTTCTTATAGTTACCACCACTCCTTCCACCCACAAGAAATTGTAGCACAGCATCTAGCCCCTATTGTCGAATACTTTTTCGTATTGGACGAATAGGAGACAGAGAGAAAATTGACACTCGTTTGCGCAATCCAGCATCTGTTAAGAGCGAAAATGTGATCCATCACGCTGTAATTTTTTCGGAATTCAGCTTGCTTCCTTGGTAGTATCTTGTGAATGATTCGTATAGAATTTCTGCACATATTCCCATGTCTGTTCTGTCAATTAGGCGATGCCATTTTCATTCTTGACATCATGAAGTGATACAGTAACAGTTCACCCCTGCACTTCTTCAGCGGGATTCTTTTGAACTGTTGCTGTTTTCTGCTGACAGTATTAGTTCTCAGAATCCTCCAGTCTTCGTCTAATGTGTCTGCAGATGGGAGAGTACTCTAAGTTTCGGGCTTTGTGTTCCTGTTTTATAACAGCATATTTGTAGCTGCTAAAACCCTCAAGTCCGACTGTTCGGAAGGAGCGCACCCGGGAAGCTTGTTAGCGTGATGTTCACTTCCTGTGATGGAATTGCGAAAACATCTTTGTGAATGTCAGCCTTCATCTAAGATGTGGTTGATTTTGTTCTTCCCTTTTGCATTTGGCGCAACTCAGGTCCTCTGACCTTTACTTTTTGGATACTTCATAAACTACATAACTTAATTCATAAATCGTTGTTGTTAGTTACGATGGGTGGAAGGGTGTATGACGAGGGGTACATACTATTTCGAGTCCCAAGGATAAGTAACAGAAATATCATTATTACTTTGCTAGGCCTGGTAGCCAATAAATCTTCATTTAACCCCTCCCAAAAAGAAAAAAAACTTAATATGCACAATAATACAGGACTCCCCCCACAGTCCTCAGTATTCCATCAGCCAATACAAAACACAAACGCGCGGCAACACTTGATCCGGCTGCGCTGTGGCTGCTACAGTTTCCTCAGCAACGACCTCTGTGGGGCGCTAATGCATCACTGACGACACTGATGCAAACTCGTATCTCTCTGGTCGGTTCTGCCTTATATAGGCAGATCATGTGGTGGGTGCTTGCCCAGTCTTTTTGCCACGAACACACTTCTGCGCGTTTGCTGGCGCTTGGGATTCCCCTGCACATAGCTTTACCGCAACTTTGATGTTTTAAACCTGGCACTGTCTCCATCCTGTTCAGTTTTGAATTTACTGTATTCAGATATTTCGTTTAATAGAAAATAAAAGAAAAAAAAAAAAAAACTGCCTTTCGCCACAAAAAACATAAGAGTTGTAGACGTCTCGGAAATACACTGGCTCTTATAAATATTT